GGTACTGCTGTGTGTATGTTCGAGTGTGTATGTCTGTCGGTCTGTCCGTGTGTGTCTGCTGGTCTGTACGTTGTGCTGCCATCATGTTGATCAGTTGTTGTATGTGTATATGTGTATGTGTGTGTGTGTGTGTGTGTGTGTGTGTGTCTGTGTGTGTATATTACTTGCTCGTTGTTGGAGTAAACTCATTTTTTGTGATAGTTTAGCATCTTCCTCGCTTGCTTCGCAATTGCTGTGGGATACATTTACCCGACAATTTACCCACGGATATCTCTCACTCTCTCCTCTTCTGTCATTTTTAGGCTAATTGCCTTTAGGTTGGTACTTTGTCAAGGGTACCACGAGATACATACATGATTCCACATACAGAAGTATTGGGAAAGTCACCTAAGTGGGTAATTGTATCATGTTTTCTGGTTAACGCATAGAATTCATCAGATTACGTCACCTATTCCATTTCCGATCACAACGTGTCTTGAGGAATTTTGAAACTCTTAGCATCTTCACGTTCTCTTTACGTTCAATTGCCCCACATGCATCAACGCCTACTTCTATTATCAGTTATCAGTTTCTGTTATCAACTGTATTTTGGTTTTTGCGTCTGGCATCTTTTGATTAGCTTGTGAAATCCATCAGTTACGCATTTTTATACTTACTACTGTAGTTTAAAAATACATCGAATGGTTAACCTTTCACTATTTACACTCTACTTTTATGCTTGCAATGCTCGAAATTCCAGATCTTTAATTAGATGCAATACTGCAACTTTCTCTTGCCTTCTCCACTCCGTTCACTTTATTGTTCTTTTATACGATCTATCAAGTGAAATTTGTAAGGGTCCATTTCATCATATACTTAAACATCTGCTGTAATGATTGTATGAAGAAGCTTCCTTTGCCGGAAATGATTGGAAATTCATGTGTTCTTACACATGAGTCTCAAATAATGGTGTCGAGGAGGACGATATGATGCGACCATTATATTTTGCCTTATTCATGATAGTTTAAGAATGGTTTTGGTCGTATATATTCCAACTGCGGGAAAAGGTGATGAATCTTTTTAAGGTGGCATTCATTTCAGGTGAAGCCGAGGAGCTTACTTTTGTCTTCAGAGAAAGTTTCACGGAACAATCAACTCTCTTGTCGTTTCTGGGTATAATTCGCTTGACGCTCATTTTCCTTAATCGTTTTAATTGCGTATTTGTCATTCAGCTGAACTGTGTGGACAGTGGTATTATTCTGTCTGTTAGCTGCTAGAGGTATTCAAATCACACACCGAAATGGCCGAAAGCAAGGATGAACTCGTTCAACGCGCCAAGCTTGCCGAGCAGGTTAGTTTTATGGTCGTGATTTGTGGTGGACAATATTTTATACGTATATTTCATCCATGCAATTCATGCTCGCATAACTGGAAAAAATTTGTAGATAGGTAAATTGTTAATGCGATAAGTCTTCAGATCTTGCAGTGACTAAGCATTATAATAGTTTTATGGTATCCATTTGGACTCCATGCGAATTGTTTTAATGCTGCTAAGTATTATTTGGTTATTAATTGATTATATAAAGAGTAGTCGTTTGTTTCTTAGGCTGAGCGATACGACGATATGGCTCAGTCGATGAAACGAGTCACCGAATTGGGTGCCGAACTTTCCAATGAGGAGCGTAATTTGCTTTCGGTTGCCTACAAAGTTAGCATTTTGTTTGTTTTTACTTCATTTCATAAAGGCGTAATGTTTTCTTGTGATATTCAGCTTGGTATTTGGCCTGGTTTTTAATAAGTTAAAGTGGACATCAAGTAATATTTGATCATTCCGTGGAGTCAGAAGTAGGAATAGTCATGAGGTTAAGAATGAATTTAAAGAGGCGTGCGATAATGCAGAAGGAGAAGAAGAGAGGAGGAAAGAGCACAGGGAAGGAGGAGAGAGGGCAGAAGTAGATGGCCATATTAGATAATGGGAATCTTCTTAGCGGTTTGCCGGATAGTTTGAGTGAACGCATCAAATGGCTTATCGATTATCGTGGTAGTTACTCAGTGGGCTCGATTGAATTCGCATAGCACCTTCTCTAGCCTTCAGAGCACATATGCTGTCTTTCGGACCCCACAGAGTTGTACTCGTTACGCGTCGCCTATGGTTGCTGAGCGTTGCGTTGTGCACTAACTGTAAGGATATCGTCAACTGATTTCTATGCAAGGAAAGTGGACCTCTTCATGCGAAGAGGTGTGTGGTGTAATGCCGTATTTATTGGTGTCAGAAGTTTTGGAACTCTCAGATTTGCATGTGAAAAGTTTAAAATAGAATGTATAAAGAAGGGAAGCACAGCAATCATAATCGATAATTCTTTCGGATTAGAATCATTAACATTAAAACTGCCATCCTACATGAAAAGGTGGAAGGATGCTTCTAAGAAAGCGATTGAAGTGATAGAAGTAAAAGCAGTGTATACCTTTTAGAATGTAGTCGGGGCAAGACGCTCGTCATGGCGGGTGATATCATCAATTGAACAGAAGACTGAAGGTTCGGAGAAGAAGCAACAGATGGCAAAAGAATATCGTGAAAAGGTTGAGAAGGAACTGCGAGATATTTGTCAAGATGTTTTGGTAAGTCTTCATTCAAATTAGCCTTTGAAGTGCTGTATTGAGGTAACTCCTGTCGAGGAATTTGCATTTGTCGCATATGTGCACGCACATTGAAAATGTTTTCGACTGTTAGCATAACAGCAATATGGAAGAATTTAAAAGTTGTTTTGGATCTGTATGATAGGACATCTGTTTCAGAATCTTCTGGACAAATATCTCATTCCGAAAGCAGGTAATCCTGAGTCGAAGGTGTTCTACTTAAAAATGAAGGGTGATTACTACCGATATCTGGCCGAAGTTGCAAGTGGAGATGATCGCGACGGTAGGCATGGCTTGCAATTATCTGCTCTAATATTTCGGGTTTTATTAGTTGGCGTTTTTATTCGTCGGTGATTGAAAGTCAAGAATTATGTCCGCGAGCGCATGCAGTAATCAGCTTTAGCTGACATGCAAACGTGGATGTAGCGCCGTGACATTTGTGCTGATCCATGAAAGGCCCACAAATTGCTGTGCCGTACGGCCTAATGATGGATCAGTTATTTTTATCCCAACAGCAGTTGTAGTTGAACTGTTAAAATGGTTGGGAATGAAAGTGTCCTTGAAGGATGAATGTTGCCGGCTTGTGATTTGAGTTTTCCAATCTTTAACCTCAGAAAAGCGTGGGTTATTTGGAGCTATTCGCAATGAAGTAAATAGCTTATTATGTATCTCAGAGTATTTTCCGGAAAGGTGTTGGAAAGTTTATTTTAACACGGTTTTCGTTCGTTGAGAATATGCGTCTGTTTGTCATGCTGAGGAATAGAAGAGTTGAAGTTTGAGTTTGTTGCTACTGACTGGTGGTTCTCTGTTCTATTTAGTGGTAGTGAAGAAGTCACAGGATTCCTACCAAGAAGCATTCGATATCGCGAAGGACAAAATGCAGCCCACACATCCGATCCGGCTTGGGCTTGCACTCAATTTTTCGGTATTCTACTACGAGATAGTGAATGCGCCAGACAGTGCCTGTCAACTTGCTAAAAAGGTGCGTGAAGACGGGTTTATTTTATATTATTGCCACTCGAATGGTTGGTTTATGTTTGTTTCAGCGGTGGCGGATGCGGGTCAGAAAGCCTATTCGGAGGCACTTGAGATTGCCAAGGCACAACTTTCGACTACCCATCCAGTTCGTTTGGGCCTCGCTCTAAATTATAGTGTCTTCTTCTACGAGATTTCATCGAGCCCCGATCGTGCATGTCAACTCGCCAAACAGGTGGGCCGGATCCTGTAAAGTGCCGGTCATCGAAACATTGAATGTTCCGATTTCTTGTTCGGCCGACACTTGACATATACATATTGCTGCTACCGTCTGAGGCTCTCTTCTTTTTGCTACTCTTACATTGTCACTGATGACTTCCCATCACCTTTATATGCAGAAAATTTGAGGACCGTAAACTGGAGTTTTCCGGAGAAACAATGTTTTTTATAGTTTGGTTATGGTCGGGAATTCTTTTGCTGAGTTAGGTGGATGTTAACTGGTCAGAAGCCTGGCCGATATCATATTTATTCACAATTCATTAGCAGTCAGTTTCTCAGTTTAAAATATTTTTGCGTCCTACATGGGGATTTGGACAGTCTGTGTTTATGGGATGATCATTTGTTCTAGGTCTCGGGAATCCACCATTCTGAGTAGCACGGGAAAGTTGAAGTGTTGAGGGCCTCAAAGCACGTAGAATAATCGCTTCTGCTTCCGAAAATGCATGTGTGGGTATGTGAATTAACATAGAGTTACAATAGGGTTTCTGTCTTTTTTAATAAATTTTTCTCCGTTCTAATTTCTAAGTTGATTTGGAATCCAAGGCTGCCCATTTAATGCGAGATAAAAAAGCTAACAGAAATCAGATTTGAGGCATGCTGATACTTGCCACTTTACCCATTTATTCAGTTGGGAAGAATATCTTCAATTAGCAGGACTAAATGAATTGTTCTGATTGGGATTGAAGAATATGAAAGATATTAAGATTTTAAAGACCAAAGGAAGAATGTAGGACATAGTTTGTCAGTTTCAGTTTACATTAGACACCATAGTGATGAAACAGTAGGCCGTTCTTCAGGTATTAGGATTGTGTGTGCATGTTACACGAATAGTGTGGCGATTTTTTCCTTGGGTAATGCTTTCTGGTTTTTAATCAGAACACTACGCCGAAAATGTAGATCCTTTATAAATTATAAAGTATGATTTGTGAGTGTGCTGGTGTTAACATTCATGCATGCGCTTTTTCTCATCGCTGCATTCTTTTCAATTTTTTGTCTTTTTTGGGATTTTTTTAATACTATTTTATAAGTAGTTGGTGCTTCACGAAGGAAATTCAGATGAATGCACTATGCATAAATTGGTCATGATTAGTAGTCAGTTGTTGTTCATCCTCCTAAATTAGACCAGACCCAACTAGAAGGTAAATTAACTGGGCTTCCATGTCATGTTAAGGATAGTCCTCACAAAGAAGTGCTAATGGCGGCTTGGGTGCGTCCGTAGGTTTTAGCTGCCCTCCTATAAATTTTGAGAGTCGGACTTTCGAAGCAGTATTGTCCATTCATAATGTGCATACTTTTACTGTTTATTAGTGTTTCATTGCTTTCCTCTGCTTCATTTCTCCCTCGATTTATGTATTCAATTTCAATCAGATGCAGTGGTGGGAATGAGCTGACGGTGTCACTTCGATATTTGTTCGAAATATCTACCTTAAAAATTTAATTCACATGGAGTTCTTTTGCTCTCCCAGTCTGAATTTAGTAAAAAATCAACTTTCTTCCTTGCGAGGATGTTTTAGTTTTACTGCAAGAAATATGCCCACATTCGTTTCAATAACCCATCACTGATGTAATTAGGTATTACTTTTATTACCTATAATTGACTGGACATTATTTACAGGCATTTGATGATGCAATTGCTGAATTGGACACCCTAAGTGAGGAATCCTACAAGGACAGTACGTTAATCATGCAGCTCCTTCGTGACAACCTTACGCTGTGGACATCGGATACTAGCGCGGACGATCAGGAAAGTGGTGGGCAAGCCGGTGGAGCAGGTGGCAATTAAGCGGGAAGAACAAACAAACTGAGAACTAAGGCCACATTACCGTCGCTGTCTTTTCCAAATGATCGTTCTTCGTGTTCTTTTTTTTTGAACTTGTTTTTTTGGTTTGATGAATAATTATAAGTTTCCAGTTGTTTTGCGTAAAACAATCAGTTTCATCCATGATATGTGTTGAAAACATGTCCATGTATTTTTTCGTCTACAGGTAATTGTTTTTGTCGACAGGTCGACGCCCTTTATAACGCACTGCGGTATTTTTGAGCTTTTTGGATTATGACAGACAACCTGCAATATTTGCATGTTTATTCCATTATATGAAAAACACGGCTAGAGAATTTTGACTGGTCGAAGATTATTACTCGGATATTTGTGTCACCTAGTTGTTTCTCTTTACTTATTCTGAATAGCATTCGAAAAGTTTAGCCTATTCTGCTTAAGTTTGTAATTGCCCTCATATACTATGGATGTTTACATGAGATGAATTTGAATATATCCTTAACGTGAAATTTTGTAGGACACAGCTTTAAAGGCAGACCGTATTTCCTGTTTGGAGGATGTCTAATTGCCTGTCCTTTCATCAGTTCTAATTGAGTTTTACATTTGGAAAGTCCCAGTCTTAACCTGTTCGTGACAGTTGTCTTTTGACATTTATAGTGTAGCCTATTATGTTTTTGCTTTTGCTTCCAATCTTCTCGGGGGATCTGCCGTTATATATTGCAGCCATGTTTGTTGAGTAAAATTTGCATATTCATGAAGTGGACAAAAAGGACAATGTTTTGGTTTGCAGAGATGGGAAACCATCTGCATACGGTAGTTGAAATCAGGCGGGGTTGTCGCTTGTGCACATTATTGCTTCTTTTTGATTGTCTTTATTTGTTCGTATAAATTTCAGGAAATGTTTGTTCCGGGGTATTTCACAGGATGCAATAACCCGAACTGAAGTTATGGGCTTATTCTGCCTTCTATTAGTTCAAGGATCCCTGTCTGAGTGACCTGCAATGTTTTTGCAGTAATGTAACACACCGTACCTTGAGCGAAATAGCAGTAACGCCTTGTTGGATTAACTGATGATATTTAAAGGAGTTCCAACGACTGAAAACGATTCACCTGTGGGATAGGGTTCAGTGCGTTTTGGTCATTCTTGTTTTGGTTTCCAAGAGATGATCGGAAGGGGAAGGTTGGGTCGACCGTTTGTGGCAGAGGATGTAAGAATGCAAGTGGGGATTCCGGTATCATCTAATTTTTCTGGGTCTTCTTGTTTGTAGAGACCGAATGCCAAGGGTTAGTGCAACGCATAGATCTGATAAAGAAAAAAGTCTTTTAAAACGGGATTTCAGACCGTTCGGGTGGAATATCGGAATTGTTGATGGGTTGGTGTGGGAGAATAATATGGCGTAGCAGGAAGAGCGGCAAGTTGTGGGATTTCGTTTGTGGATCAGTGTTTAAACCGTGTCAGTCAAGATTTTTACCATAGTGGATTTAAAAGCATTCCATTTTCGAATAACAGTGTTATGCGGTAGAAAAGGCGAAACAACATGATAGGGATGGGGTACGTGATTTCTCCTCTTAGTGATTGTATGGTAATTAATCAATATTTTCAAGATACAGTGATAATGGGGAACACTGATAAATGAAACATCGTGAAGATTTAGTTTACGGAGTTGGACGGAACACTTGAGCACTGACTGATAAGCACTGATAAGCGGTGCTATCGAAGTACTCCTTCCAAACGTCTAATATTATTTTTCTCATTGAAAGACTTCCAGATATAAAAACACGTGGACTTTTTGCTAAACTGTCTATTTTGTCAAAACTTTGTCTTCAAAGGAGCGCTTTAGTAGCTAAATCCTCACTGTTAGTTGTTGGAAGACTAAATTCTTGTTTGAAATTAATATGCTATTATGATCAAAAGACGTCTAGTTAAGATTAATTCGCTCAGACACATACGACTATAAGTGTCCATTTGTTTCTTCCCAATATTTCATGCATATTTTATTCGATTAGATTTGATTTTTATTGCAGGTTCAGTTCATATTTGTGGAATTTGTTTGTGGCCGAATTTTTCAAGTCTTAATTTTTAAATTAAAATAATCAGAAGTTTATTGATAACTGGATAATAATATTCATGAATTTATACTCATCATTACTATGTTGGTGTTTCGTTGTCTCATCCTTTGCAAACTTTTTCCAGGTCATATTGGTTATTTCTCTGGATTTTAAAGATTACTAAGGAAATGTTAACACCATTATTGTCTTCATTCATTGGTAAAAAACTTATTTTCCTGTGAATTTCCTTGAGTGAAATGCAGAACAGTGCAACATTGAATGCATTCATCATTCGCTGTTTTTTTTTAGTCTTCCAGATTTCAACATTATTTTCTTTCTCAAGATTGTGAAATTGTTCAAATTTTAAAGAGTGAAATTGGTGTCATTAGTCATTCGTAACAAAAATAGGTTCATCCATTGCGCAACACTCTGCAGTCATCCTTTCACATTTCTTTCCGGTGATGTTTATTGAGTTTTCTGGGAGATAATTCATTTGGGTTTATGAGGGCGAAAGTGCTACCATTCCTCTTTTATTTGAATACAAAACGGATTCTTTGATTATTTTATTAATTAGTTATTTGAATTAGCCGGAATTTTAGCGCATAATTAACATGCATTTTTGCATATTGCAGTGTTTATATATTCCTTATTTTAATGATTTTAATGATGTTGTTAGTTTTTATTATGCGTGAAAATGTTGTTCATATACGTCTTTCTTATCATTCCTAAAACTGATCTGCTAATGTTGTAGGTGTCGAGACAGGAGCAAGATATCGATGGTTCCAGTATGTTATTGACATCCCAAGCTCCGGTAACTGAACTAGTGTCACTTGTCTGGCCACATGTTATTATCGCTGTGAGATTGTTGGATTTTATTTCGTTTCATTTTTATTTTTATTTTTGCTTTTCATTTATGATATGGAGATTTCGATAACAGTCGAATGGTATTTCATCCTTGTAACATTCTTATTGATTTCGTATTCGTAACAAACTGTATGTTGAACATGACATACAGCCTGCTATCAAAAGGTAGATACCTACTACTGACTAAATCTCACTTTCAATTCACTACCTTGTGAAGCTTTTTTTGTGGATTTCCACATTTCTTTTTCTTTTTCTAAATTAAAATAAAAAATTAGCAATAAGTTTCGTTATATTTTCAGATTTTCTCGGTAAGTACTATGATTTCTCTGCTAACGCTTTGTGTATCAACACATTGTTGCCGAAATGTGAAAAAGTGAGCTGTTTTTTCTTAATTTAATAACAGTCACTTGCACATTTTCCATCTTGATTTTTTCTTTTCAACAATCTTATTGTATATAAGGTGTATGTCCGTTCCGTTTTGATGACTTGTGTAATATAGGAAGGTCAGTAGTATAATCTAATAAATAATGTAAGAGAATAATGATCTGGTACTATAATGTAAGAGAATAGATAGAAAGACAAAGAGAATGGCGGAGTATGAATGTTTAATGACGAGGAATTGCTAGCAAGTTAAGACTATGATCGTTTACTTGGTTGTAGTTCGTAACAAAATGAAGGGCTGAGTGGAATTATTGGCATAATCTTTCGCTCTCTCTAAATGATGTAAGTATGCACCTGTATCTGCCCTGTATTTGCCTGATGCTAAAATATTAGGGATTTATCAAATGTTGATTTTACTTGATTTTCTTCAACTAATTCTTTCTTTTGTAGTCATTTCAATTTGTGCCATTTCTTTTTGTAGTTTGCATTAAAGTTTCAGGAAGGAAAATCCATATGGAGAAATTTCCACAGCACCAACTCCTGATGTCTCTGTTTCAGCGGTCGTTTCTAGAAGCAAAACTGATGGATCCCGGCTTCATCACCCTTGTCGTCTTTCCTGTCCCAGTCTGGTTTGTTTCATCTGATCAACGAAGTTGTTTCACAGTTTGTTAGTGATAGTTTCATTGGTTATTTGGGTTTATGAAGTCGATTCACGCACGATTAATGATGAATTTATTATTTCAGGAATGCCATTAGTGAATTGACGTTCTGCATTTGCATACCTTCGTCTCCTTCGTGCAGAATTGGTGCGAAGTTCATATTCTTTCGATTTATATTTCTCATTTTGTTTTTCAGAACCTCCATGAACGATCACTTCACCGCCTTTCCGCACCACTTCCTCAATCTTCTGTGACAACGAAGCGAGCTCTGCCAGAGTAGGTTCTTTTCCCATGATTTGCTGAATTACACTAAAAGTTCTGTAAATACATATCAAATTAATCTTTCTGTTCTGCCCGTCATTTCCCACCGAACCTTACATTTGATTTCGTTTAATATATTGTGCAATATCTCACAAAAGGTTTTTTATTATCAATTATCTTTTATCCTGTAAACGATTGCAAGCCCTTCTCTAGAAACTATCCAGCAAGGAAATTTCTTATCCGATTATATTGCTCTCTTGCATATTCCTATCACAACTCTTAGGTTACCTGAACTATCGGCACGACTTGAAAATAAAAATCGGGGCGCTCTATATTCAACAATCGACCATTCAATGCCTGTTCTCGGTCGAGACGGTTCATTTTTGTATAGTGAAGGACCAACAAACCCAACTTATGAATCTATTGATGTGGATTTCTATTCGAAGGTCTGACAAACATCTTTATTGGATTTCCGGTATTACCATAATTACGAGCGTCATGTTTCTTACTTGTATCTAGTGCATTTCAGCTTGACGAAGTCAGAATTTCAGTAGTGGGAGGAATGGACATAATGACGTTCGGTGATCTTTACTATATATCCAAATTTAGCCCAGAATAGCAGTGCCACATAGGCATCGAACACCGTGATTCTGACCTTCATTTATTCGTTTATTCGTGGATGACGTTTAACTGTGAACGTGGAAGGAACAAAAACATTTTAGTTAGGAAATGGTGGTCCATCTCTGAAGCGATATGACTATCCCATTTTTGCACCAGAAAATCGACCAACAATCGCTACAGATGATGTACTTTATCAGAGTGCTTCACAGATTTATGCAGGTGTTAGCGAAGATCCATACAGGTTTGCGTAATGTCTTATTTTATCCTAAAGTGTTTTGTTTGTCAGATGTCCACAAAGAGTATGAGAGAAATGGTAGCCAAATGAAGCTAATTTTTACTAGTAGTAACAACTACTGAACATTGCTATCACGCTTGTGACAGTGCAAAATGTGACAGTGCTGAATGACAGTGCAAAATAAAATCTTGGTGACTCTCTGGAAATTAGCTCCTTTTTTGTCAAAAATATTGCATACGTGATCAAGAAAACATTGAAATTATAACCAAGTAGCTTGGGAGAGAAAATATTATCTGTTATGCTTAGTGTTTGGTCATTTCTAAGTAACACTGACAGCAAATATCAAATATATGATTCGGTTATCTATACATACGAAGCATGTTTTTGTAATTGAACAAAACTCTTTAGAAACTATTTGAATTTCCCCGTTTTCCAGCTCAATAACAAGTCATACAGGTGGTGAAGCGAATTATGATGTTGAGTATAGCCATGTACAAGAAAGTATGAATACGGAACCTCCACGCTATCTTGCTAATGCGCAAGCAGAAAGTCGCACTCTCGATCATCTCTATTCACGAGTAGGTTTTGTATATGCCTTTAGGCAGCAATATAGATTTTACTCTTAGCCTCCTGTTTGCTTATATTCTTCCTATCTCTATGGTTACAAAAATTCTGGTGTTGCAACAAAAATCCGTGCTATGAATTTTTTTAAAAGCACTTCTTGGAATAAATTCTATAAAGTCTTACTGACTTTATGTACTAAACCATCCGGTCATCTTCAAAAAAAATCTCTTCTTTTGATTTTTACCTGAAATGTGCTCTTTTAATTTCTTTACAATGAACTATCGGCTACTACACAGCCCAATATCATTATAGTTTGTGTAAACGTGTTTAGATATCTTGCCTCTGCAATGCTACTGCAACTTTATTTTTCCCACATTTACTTTTCCCAACATCAAAATGTCAAGATTAAAATGTTGGGAAGAGTTAGTGTCAAAATTGTTTGACTTGTTATAACACTTTAGATTTGCTACCTTCGAATATCAGATATGTCTACACCTAATTTATGCATACAGCAATTTGTACTGGCAGGAAATGGGCATGTAAATGAGACTTGTTAATGAATACTTTTCAGATTCGACGTGGGCCATCAATGCACAGGGCTACAAATTCATCCACATATCGATTCCTGCCCTCGAATGAATTCGCTGTTGAATATAATTCAAGTGGAAGTGACAAGGTAGTTGTTGTTAAAAATTAAAACAAGATTGTAGAGGATTCATTACATGGAACCGGCTTAAGTCTTTTGCAAAAATTCTAAAACTTCTAGCTGACTGAAACTGGAAATCTTACAAAGGTAAGATGCATCTTATATTTGAAGCAAAGTCAGCTTAGTTTTCTATTTTTGGGAATTTTTTGGGAATTGTATGATTTATTCATTTTAGTGTACAGTTTAGCTTATTAGCAAGCCGGTGTCGATAATATTTGAATGACTTTCGGAATTGTTTAATCAAAATTAACTAGGTTTGAATCTTATAAAGTACTTTAGACAAGTCGAGAACCATCGTATCGCTATATAACGGTACGAGAAAGTGTTGATGTTATCCGACAGCGGCTGAATGAGTTTAATTCATCTTCGAACACAGCTCAGTCGGTTATAACTAGTGGTTATGGACTAATACGCGAGCATTATTATTCGTCGATTGGTGGTAGTGATTATGAAACAGTTCGGTTTTTCTCCAGAATATTGAAATGAAAGAAAAGGAGCAAATTGATAGTAAACTTAGGGAAGAAAGGAAAGCTTCAAAATATTGTTCGTATAACTTTTATATTCAGATGAAATTGGAGATAGTAGGTAATCTGACACAGAACAGGCAGATCTTCGATGACAGCTATACGATCAAATCTAGATAATAAATGTCATGAAATACAAGGATTTTTATATCTGTCCAGATAGCAATCCTTGTACCTTGACCGCGGACATGATGTCATTTGTCTTTGTTTTCTTGGTTGCTCATATTGCTGTTTTCACTTAATGCGATTGTCAATTCCAGTTACAAATCTCAGCAACATCCGCTAGCCACCCATCATGCGATGATCAGCAAGTCCTTTCAACATCCTGCGCCAGTCACGGTTTGTTAAATCTCCAGACATAGTTAATGGTATTTTTTTTTCGAGACGTAAATGAGAAATCGAATCGATATTAGTGAAAATGAGGAAGTTGCAGTATTTGATTAGCTATGAAAGAACCAGTTCTGTTTCAAAAATTTTATGATATTAGTAATTTAGTAGTTTTGATTTTCATTTAAATTTTATTACCACCTCTAATGCATAAGTTGTTTGTTTAAGAAATGACTTAATTCTAGATGTAGAGCCTGAAACGATATCCAGTGCTGTTAGTGTTTGTGAAAATATACCGCCGAAACCACCCACTTCTCCTATACCTCTACGTATCACTGTTATAGAAGATAATTTGCAAAAAAAGCAACGATCGTTATCAAGTAATTAGACTTACAGTTTTTCTTTCCTAAGAAATTAATGTTCCTGAAAGACTTGAAGTGCACAAATGTGCACTTTTAGTGAAAGAGGTTTTGCAGATAAAGATAATGTGAATCATCTTGTTAGGTAGGTCAATATTTCGGTTTTAATTTCGCCCTCGTTATGGCTGAAAGCAGAAAATGTTGCAGGTACTAATATGAATGAAGCTGTAAATGATGATGACAGCTGCAATAACATTTCGGAAAAAATCCGCAAACTTAGAACGAATTTTTTTGATCAAGAACTCAAATTGTTGGAGGATTTGAAGGGTTCTTCGTCAACCAATCTTCGCTTTAGGGAGTTATTGGGAACTATCAATCAATGTGGAACATCAAAATGGGTTAATTCTTCCGGAATTAACCGAAATTTAGAATCGAAGCAGTATGGTGTTCAGACTTCGTCAACAAACTTTGATGACATCTATCCGCACTTGCCAAAATCAACTGCTGACAGACCAAACGTACATAATGCACAGAATGTAACCCAGAATGCGCCTCCTTTTACTGCAAATAGGCAAAAAGTTATTGATGAAGAGCACTGTGAAATCACTACACAGAACTCAAGATCTCGTGATTTCCACAAAGCAAATATCCTTGGGACAAAGCAGTCTATCGAAGGTATAGTTTATTCTTTAGGCACAGCTGAAACTTATACATCATGACGTTCATAGAATTCGAGAAAATTTTTAGAGGAAAGCAACGACGAAGAGCAATATTCCATTCCTATGAGACGCCACATACTCGGTAATCAAACTGAGAATAATAGTAGGAATACTTGCTTCCCAAAGGTATGTTTTGAGGCGTTTTCATTTAAGTTTTTATATTTTTCAAATTTAATTTGATGAATTCCCGTACTTTTCTAAACAGCTGTTCTTTTTTGTGATTTTTTGTTAGGATATTGATGGTGAACTTCCTTTGTAGGATAGAAAAGTCTAAAAAAGTTTGTCACTAATATCCTGATGAAGTGGATTATGCCATCTTGTTTAATGGCTGAGTTCAAAAAATTTCAATGTGCAATCTGCTGGTGAGATGACTCATTGTAACGCGATCATTGTAATAAACAGCTTACAGATTGCACTTTTTAATTATAAAGGCCATCAGTGAATGTAACGGGATTATGTTGATGACATTTTTGCTGCATATGACATTTCTAGGCTTCAAAGGAACTGCGTAAAAACACTGCCATGCCTTCCTCTCGGTGTTCAAGTTTCTCTGAAACAACATGTCAGACAATCCAATCCATAGTCAGTAAATTAGATTTGCCAAGATTTCAGATCCTTGGCTAATCTCATTTGATCAGGATTAGAGTTAGGATGTCTATTATTTGATTATCAGATTTTTACAGGCGTCACTGAATGAATCTTCGAATGATACTAAAAAAGACATGGAAGCACAGCCTCTTTCCTGTCAGCGAAATATGATGGAATTATGTGAAGAAAGTGGTACTGATTTAATTTCTTCATAATGCTGTTAAGCTACTCTATAGTTAACTAATGTCAGAAATGCTTTTAGGTACGGAAGGTGATCGATCTGTGCAAACAGCTAGTCTTAACTTCTCACATGAATCAGTTGACGAAAATGGTTGGTTCTGAATTACCCCTTACCACGAAATAACGACAAAGAAAAATGTTTAGTGTATGTACCAGAATTATCAGGTTGTACAGGACGAGGCCAGTGGTGAAAGGGATAGCGAAGTCCATTTAAATTAGAATTTGTCTTTTTTTTTTTTCATCTAAGTGAAAAATAATGAGCATTTCGTGCTCATTATTTTTCACTACGATTTTTTAATTTATAATTTTTTACAGTTCGAAATGATGAAGACAGCAGCGATGTAGTGAAAACTGCCAAAACTGATCCTTCTTGGTCATTGATCTCATCCGGTAACATTTTTTTCTTGTTGACTTGTTAACTATGAGAACTATTAGGGACTGTAAAATCTGTTATAACCTTTTTTTTTCATATTTTGATTATAAAAGGAAATTGCGGTTCTATGCGTCAAAATTTCGTAAGGTTTTCAAATGTGAGCATAAAGATCTTCATTCTTTAGGTCATAATATAGTAGCACTTTTATATTGTTCCATTTATTATTGTTTTATTCATTTATTCTGTCTTTTGCAGGTGAAAATATACTTTCATATGTGAACAGGGCGGACAATAAATCACCAGAAGCACCTGGAATAAATCAGTACAATTTTCTGAAGAATTAATTCTTTTTTAACTTGTTTTGGTGTTTCAATTTCTGATGTTTCTATTTATCCTTGTTAAATTTTATATAATTTTACATGTTTAAGCAGTTCCGAGGTTTTTTTTTTTTCAATTAGATGCTAACTTACCTTCACTGTTCTATCTATGGGAATAAGCGCGTGTTATGCAGTGTTAATTATTTTATATTTCATCACCGGCATCTAGTGATAGTCACGTTGGCGAAAACGAAGGCTCGATTTTTTTAATTTGAAGTCAACATTGTCTGAAATTTGAACGCTAAAATCGATGGGTTAATCAAACTGTTGTTTCTTTATTAATTTCGGACATAATATTTTCTTTATTTATTTTGTTGTCCTAATTTATTCTGTTATAATTTGTAGAATTTCTTAGATGTCATTTTAAAAAAGAATTTGGTTTACAAAATTTCATTTACTTATGGATTCATCATTGTTATAAATCTTTGTTATATAAAAGATGACATGAGCTACTAGATTTCATTTTACACTTTATTACGCTGTGGTCTAATTCATTTCCGTTGTGCCGTAGGTTTGGCACTCATTATAATTTCAAGCATTATATAAAGTGAAATTTATATGAAACTATAATTCTTCTTTCATTTAGGAAACTACTGAGTTATGTGACAAAGAGCTAGCGATAATCAATGTTAGAGGCATGTTTATTCAAAGACCTTCGTAATGACAAATCAGAATTTTTAAAGAGGAATGATGTTATGCGAACCTACGGACTGATTGTTGTAAGCTCAAAGTTAACGAGATTGGAGGTGTCGTGGACTTAAATATTTTAGAAAATATTTTTTCTAAACTTATTAAAATTTCGAAATCAGCTATTCATTGCTAAGGCCTTTGATGTACTATGTATCATTTGTTCGGGTGACATCCACATATCATTTGCACTTTCGTTGTTTTTCTCAAATTTTTTTCTTACTGTTTACTCTCTTCGCTAATCAGTCATGCTGTAAAATGTTTTATATGCCTTTTATGTAATATTGTAAATTTTTGCAACTTTTGAATTGCTGCTCAATTTATTGATTCGTCTCTTGTGTTAGTGTGTTTTCTGATTGGACAATCCAATGATGAGTTAAACTGGAATTTCTGGCAACTTTTTGGGACCTCCAAGTTTGCATTATTTGAAATTATCTCTATCATCAGAATTAGCATCACCCCTTTTTTATTAAAGCCTAGTCTTGTAAATAAGGATTATTGTTCGAGTCTAACTGAAGCTCAAGAATATATTTTTACGGAGACAAAGTTGATGAAGTCTTAAAGTAATTTGGAAATAGATACGGGTGAATGCTTTTTCTACATTCCCCTTTGAATTAACTTTGATGAAATTATTAATATCAAATATCGTTCTATTTATCTTGTAAATTGTTGCAAGGCATTGGTAATTCAAGCATTTTTTGTCCAACATAAAAATATGTTTTATAGCTACTCTTTCGATTTGATCGTTTTTATTTGGAAATTCTGTTTGGAAACGAATTATTATTTCATATACTTTACTATTCTAAAGCAAAGGGTGCTGGAATGGTTGGTAGATTGGATGGCAAGTTTTATAGTATTATTTTTATCGGAAGACATCTTCAAATTGTATAATAATATCCTTATTCCCCAGAAAGACTTAAATTTCAAATATAATTTACAGGTGTGTAATGTACGCAATTCTTCATGAAACGGATGATTCAACCGCGGTGAATTTTAGTGAATGTGGGAAATTCTTCCCAGAAAAAGGCTTACAAATAGTTACTGTAGGTGTTAAATATTTACAAATTTTCCGCGCCAATCCATATGCTTTATTATTGAAAGATGAGCAACAATGGGCCCAGACAACAAGATTGGAATGTTTACTAGCCGTACGATTATTAGCACCCGTACAGTCATTTGCTATTGCTAGAATTCCACGTTAGTATTTTTCCGTTTTCCTACTTCGAATTTTATGAAGCATTGAGCCTCTGACATCGAACATTTGGAATCCTGAGCACTGAAAAATTTAATGCAATTAAAAAAATTTAATGCAAGTTTAATACATTTAAAGAAATTTAAGGTTTCAAATACTGATGCTTCAAGCGATTTTTTTCTGAATAAAGCGGGAAAAAAGCCATAAATATGATAAAAGGAGATAGGGATTTCTTAAAATGGTCTATGCATCTATTAGTAAAAGAAATTCTAAATTGTTTTTACAAAGGCGAACTGTTCCAGCATTACATTATTTTTAATGTGCACCAGTTTCTTCACTAAATGGAACAAATCATTTGTAGAGAATCCAGATTGTGACAGTCTTTTGCTTGGATTTGATGATGCAAAACTTTCTATTGTTGGTGTAAATCCAGCCGATCGATCTTTGAAAACAATTTCGTTACATTGCTTCGAAGATGAATTGCTGAAAGATGGATTTACGAAGAATTTACCTCGTCCAGTTATTCGTGTTGATCCAGGTCAACGGTGCGCCGCCATGCTTGTTTTTGGCAGGTAATAATTAGTGATATGCTTTCAGATATCATTTAAAAAAATTTCCATTTTTCCTTTCAATGTGAGTAAGATATCCCTTTGATAGACCCTATGCTTGTCCCGTCGTTCGTATTTTAGTATTATACTTAATGGAGCAGTCCTATGCTTTCGATTTGTTCGTTTATCATCGTTTCAGATACCTTGCTGTACTACCATTCAATGATTCAGGTGCCCAATTACATTCTTATACGGTTCAGCTTTCCCAAATTGATTCCCGTTTGGTTAATGTGGTGGATATGGTTTTCCTGGATGGTTACTACGAGCCAACATTATTATTCCTTTATGAACCCGTTCAAACCACTTGTGGACGGTAATTTTTTGATCCGGTCTTTGTTCTCTTTGTTTTCCCTCATTATGCAAATATTGTTAATGTCAGTAGTTATTGTATCCTCAACAAGTATCATGTTTAGAGTAGCACAAAATGCAGCAATGCTTGATCAACTATTTTGGTGGATTTCATGTGTAGAAATTTTTTGAACATATAGTTGATAATTGCATGCACTTTTGCAGAGCTTGTGTACGTTACGATACCATGTGTGTATTGGGTGTCTCATTAAATGTTAAAGAACAAGTTCTTGCTTCGGTATGGCAGTTGACCAATTTACCAATGGATTGTAATCAGGTTTGTTTTTGAACTTTCAATTTTTTAACACCTTCCAAATATCTCTTCCATCATTCTTAACCTTGTTTTTGTCTACTTATATCTTTTTTTCATCGCATGTTTGGTACGCTTGAATCTATGGAGCTTACAAAAGCGTAGTCCTGTCGAAATAATTATAACTACTTATATGTTTTTGAATTATAATTTCATTCTTTGCATCACTGTTTAGAAATATTTTTTTAATATTAAAATCCTGATCATAAATACTCGTTATTCTACTCTTCTTAATCGACACTGCCTTATTAATATCATGGGAATTATTTGATGTCGATGTCGATTTTGATGTCGATAACATATGAAACAAGTAGCATTCTTTTGTTAACTATTGTAACCTTCGTTTCTTGGTAGGATTTTTGTCTTTCATGATCGCTTGTCTTCTAAAAGAGATGTTTTGGCTCTTTTTATTTTAAATAGAAATATCTCTTTTCCAGTTTACTTCGCCTATTATAGATCCTTGCAATTCCACGACCAGTCGGTGGAATTTTGCTAGTTGCTACAAATGAACTCATCTATTTAAATCAATCCGTCCCTCCATGTGGTTAGTTATCTTTTTCACTTCGGTTATATTCAGATCTAATTGCTGATGGGTTTATTAAAAATAGCAATATTCGTTATTGGGTTTTTGAACCAATGATGGCCTTGCACTTTGCGCGTCTATCTGAAAGCATTTTCTCAGTTTAAAATTCTAGCCTTAAATATTCTTTATTTGACCCGGAATTGATGCTAAATCTGAAGAGAAATGAAAAATTGTTTTACTCCGTTGAGCTGTCTTGGCTCTTTTAGTTCTCTTGGTGCATCCACATTTTATAGGCATATCACTTAACAGCTGCATGGATGGTTTCACTAAATTTCCACTAAGGGATTTCAAGCATATGGTTCTAACACTAGACGGCTGTGTTGTGACCGTTATCTCTACAAATAAGGTTTTGCATCTCAAATTTCTCAACTTTTCT